TGCGGGTGAGCTAGTGTTTCTCAATGACCGGTCCATGGACCGGTGCTGGCCCCTGAGATCTCCCTGATACAGTTTAGGAAGGCAGCAAGCCGGTCCCTGGTATCAAGAAGGTTGAGACCACTGAGCTAGAGGGTATCTTCTCAGAAGAGACATCCAGTCTCAATAGCGAGATGCCAAGGGATGGAGAATCCAACACATCCCTTGCTAAGTAGTTTCAATGGTTAATTACCCTCACTGTTAAAGAACTGTACCTTATTTCCAATCTGAAACTTGGCCAACTTCAACTTCCAGCCTTTGTCTCTTGGTCTGGTCGATTAAAGAACCTTCTAGTATTAGATCATCTTCTCCCTGTGTAGGTAATCAGAGACCGTGATCAAGTCATCTTGTGACCTTCTCCATGATAAACTAAATGGTCCGAGGGTAACATTTTTAAGCGCGCCTAAGGCCCCAATTTTTAAAAGTGATTTGAAAGTGAACGGGGATGTAGGTCCTAAAGTCACTTAAACTCTTGACAGATTCAGAGATTAAAAGGCCAGAAATGATCTAGTCTGACCTGAGGATTTTTAAATTTTGGATTTGAATATTTTACTCAGAGCTCCTTTAAAGGCAGGTTTTTCCGACCGCACATCATTCCTTCAGCCTTCTCTGAACACTTTTCAGTTTTTCAATGTTCTTTTTGTAGTGTGTGACCAGAACTGGACACAGTTTCAGCATTGGTCGCAACACTGCTCTAGATCGTGGTGCTATTCAAACACCGCTATTAACCTTGGGAATGAGAATCCCAAGGAAGTGTGTGAATCTGTGCTTATTTCTAGCAAAGGTAGTTTGGGATCATTAGCTGTATATTTGGGGTTTCATGTGCGAGCAGAACCCTTGCCTATGACTCTGAATTACCTGGCAGTTTTGACTTAAACTGGTGTTTTCAGGAAGGGACTAACTCCTACAGTTGGTTGAAATTATTTGTCCAAAAAGTTTTCCCAAGAGAAAATGCCGTTTTGTCAAACTATAAATTTTCCATGGGAAAATGTCAATTTTGGGAAAATCAAAACCCAACTTTTCCTTTCCAAGTGTTGATTCAGAATGAAGATGTTCACTTAGAAATGAAACGGGAAATGTCAAACCAAATGCAATTTTTCATTTCAAATAGACGTTTCAAAGCAAAAGGTTTTGTTTCAACGCTTCAAAATCAATTTTGAAACATTTTTCATTCTGCAAATATTTTCAGTATTTCATTGTGTCGTCACATTTCAGGACAAAAACAAATATCAAAATATCAGAATTTCACATGGGACAGAAATTCCATTTTTTAAACCAGTACTACCCAATTCCAAGCAAGCATTCTCTGACAGATTCAAAACCAAGTGCCATAGCTTGTTGCTAGCATATCGAGCTTGACTGACAACTTTAGTTAATAAACAATCTGAATTAAATATCCATAGTTTTCATTAATATTAAAATTAATTTTCTAGAATAGGCTAGAATAAATTACTGTACCAGTATGTAACAAAGTTTACTGTGATAGGATTCTCTCTTGGTAAAGTTGTATAGGATTTTACGTTTTTTCTTTGAAAAGCAATAAATATTGTTACTTGACAGCTTTTATTTTTCATTCTGTGGCTTCCGAAATGACCACAAGAGCTCAGTTAATAAAACTGATGAACTTAAAAGAGTCTAAGAAGGAAAAAACAAGAAACTCCCCCACTTCCTCACACCATGATATGGTTAACTGAAATAGACCGAGGTTTCAGAGTAGTAGCCGTGTTACAAGTACTCCTCGTTCTTTAAAATAAACCCAGGAGTCCTAGCCCCACCTGCTTTAACCAGTAGATCCCACTCCACTCCCAAAGTCGGCTTAGAACCCAGGAGTCCTAATTCCATTTGTTTTAACCGCTAGAGCCCACTGCACTGCCAGCATGGGACTAGAACCCAGGAATCCTGACTCTAAGGGATCTCTTGTACTTTCCTCTGAAATGTCTGCACTGGCCACTGTTGGAGATGAGTTAGTGGGATGACCACCTGCTCTGATCCACTCGGTCTGGTGCTATGGGTGAGAATCTGGATTTCAGAGGAGCAGACAAGGACCTCAGGGTCCTTGCTGGGTGAAAACCCAGATACACAGTTAGTAATATGATAAATGCAGCAACGCTGCTGCTGGTTCATTCTGGATCGGAGGCTTTCTGATCCATACAGGTGGGGGTTCGCGTACCTGAGAAAAGTTGCACAAGGCATTGTCCTTCTTACAGCTGTTTTCTCATCCAAGAAATGACTGGGGTTGAAGCTTTGTGGGTTGTTGAAGTGTTCTGGGTGTGGTGAGCAGAGCCCAGAGCAGTGTAAGCACCTGTGCCCTGGATAAGGAAGGTGGGGACACACCAGCAATGGGAGAGTTAAACCCTTTACAGCTGAAACAACGAGGAGTCGGGTGGCACCTTAAAGACTAACAGATTTATTTGGGCATTAGCTTTCGTGGGTAAAAACCCCTCTTCTTCTGATGCTTCTTTACAGCTGGGTTTTCTCCTAGCAAACAAACCCCATGGCTGCTGTGAATTATGGAGAAATCACGCCACTTAGCGGCCCGGGGCATGCCAACAGCTCTCCCCCGTTCCTGCAAAAACCCTCTCAGATCGGTTGGCTGGTGCGACCCTGCAGCCCTCAATGAGCCCTCGCTCTTCCTGGGGCCTCTTCCCTGGAGTGAATTGGGAAGATCCTGCCACTAAGTAAATTAACGAAGGACAACTCGGATCCTCTGCATTCGCTGGGTTTGTCCCCATGGTGAAACACTGACACGAAAATCCTCCCAAATCTGCCTCGCTGATTATCAAACAGCGACAGAAAGTCTCCTCACAAGTCACCCCTCTCTAATGAATGAAGGAAATAAAGTCCCCCTCTTGGGAGAGAAACTGATGCCCTGAGTCACTACCCTACGTTGAGGGGCTATATGGCACCAGCGTGCGGGGCTGGCCTGGCAGGAGGAGACCATCCCTTTTCTAGTTATTTATCAAACAGTCAGGGCCGGCTTTAGCAAGAGCGGGGCCCGATTCCTGGGGGCGGGGCTTGCTGCAAGCCCCGCCCCCAGGAATCGAGCCGCGCTCTGGCCGGGGTTGCCGGGCTTGGGTCCGACCCGGAGCCGCGCCGCGGGGGCCGGGCCGGACCTGAGCCGGGCCTGCGTGCTCGGCGGGCACGGGCGGCGCCTCCCCGGAGCCCTTCTCGCGCCCCCACCACCCCAGCTTACCTTGTGCTGCCGGCCCGCCCCTGCTCCGTTTCAGACTTCCCGCGAATCTCTGATTCGCGGGAAGCAGGGGAGGGGGCGGAGCGTTCAGGGGAGGGGAGGAGGGGAAGTGAGCTGGGGGCGGGGTGGAGAGCTGCAGCGCGGGGCCCTCTTGGCGCGGGGCCTGAGCGTCCTGGGCCGAAACCAGGCTCCAGATCAGCGGGCACTGCCCCACGGCACAAGCTCCCCGCTCGTCCAAGCCCATCGCGAACGGCCCAGAATTCCACTGCTGGGCATCCCGCATCTCTGCCCCGGGCGGCAGGGTAAGGCAGGTCAATATCCCTAAACACCCATGTTCCTTCCCCGCCGTGTTTGCATGTAAGCGGGTGGAAGGAAACCTCTCTCCCATCCTGCTCTCCTCTGTGTTTCCTGCCGTATGCTCTGTGCTGAGCGATCCAAGCAGCCCCCGGAGCTATTTAATCCCGACCCTTTCCTCGAGCGTCAAGAAGAACGCGGCTTTCATGCCCTTTTCTGCAGATGAAGCCTGGATGGAGGTAACATGGAAGACTGTAGATTTCCCAGTAGCTGTGTCTGCTTAGCCCCTGGGCTGTGGGTGTAACGGGAGGTTAATGGGCTGACGGGTTGGTTTATCTGGCAGGCCAGGCTATTCCAGTCCTAGACTCCACTCCTCTGCCAACGCGCCTTCATTCTCACGTGTGCCCCTCACTCCGCTTCATCAGTGCCTCTCAGCTGTAATCTGCAGCACCCCTTTCTAGTCCTCTTCTGGGGAGCCCCTTCCACAGAGCCCTGCCCCACAGCACCCCCGGGCCGTTCCAGTCCTAGGGCTCCCCCCACACGAAGTCCTGTTGATGCCCCACAACCCTGACCTGTAGCCTCCTGTTCTGGTCCAGCCCTGAGACCAGAACTCCACAGTCTGGCTTGCTAAATGGAAGGGGGTGTGCGTAGATGACCATTAGAGACCTGCTGATACTGAAAAGTGCTGGTTAAGTCTCAAACCTAGGAGCCACCTGGCTATTTCCTTAGTGTTGCCCTGTGAACAGCAGAGAGGGAAGGGGAGAGGGCTTTGATTGTCTAGAATAAGAAGCAAAACAGCTGTTCTCTGGCCTGGTACCAAAATAGAGTTTATTGATATGCATGCCCCGCGTTTGGAGCAGGAAATACAATAGACAGAGATTCAGCCCCAAAAGCCCCCAGCTATCCATGTGTGTACAAAGAAAGGGGAAGTAACTGGTGGGGCTCACCGAGCGAGAACAACCTGTCCAAGGTCCCACACACAGTACCTGAGCCAGGAACAGGATCTGGCTGTCCTACTTCCCCATCCGCCCTTCTAACCATTAGACCACGCTCCCTCCCCTAGCCTCAGCTCATGCTTTCTGAATCCGAACGGACGCTCATATTTGGTTTGTCTCTAGTCCCTGGCATGTGCGGATCTCAAAGCACGTTGCAAGCACTAATCAGTGAAGTGGGGGTGGGGGTTACCCTGTTCTTCCTGACCTGAAGAAGCAGGGTTTGCCTTCCCTTCTGGGTGTCCCCTCTTTTGGCTTCAATCTGCTGTTCCCACGGCAAGGTTTTTTTCTGATGAAAAATGTCTTTGACCAAGATACAAATTTAGTCCAAAGTTTTTATTTTACAGCAAAACAAGTCAAAATGTTTCACATCATCTGGGTGGGCCCCACTCACTCCCCTTTTTATTCCCCCTCCCCCACTGACAGCTTTCTGAAATAAAAATATATCTTTAATTTTTTTCTCAAAGGACGTGTCTGTTTGTTTTGGCCAGCTCGAGCTCCCACATCAGTTTCAATCGAGTTCAGGCATCGTGCATGCAGGAGTGTTTGCAGGATTGGGACCCACGTATATGGTAGAGAGAGGGAAAGAAGCCAGGAGTCCCGACACCTACTCCCTTCCCAGAGCCAGCAATTCTGAGGATTTCTAGCTCTCGGAACGTAGCAGGGAGTCTAGTGGTTAGAGCAGGGGAGTAGGTGTCAGGACTCCTGGGTTCTTTTACTGCCTAATGCTTGGGTCCCAATCCTACAGACACTCGTGATCACAACGTCCTAATCCTCTCCTCTAATAAGCCACGCTCCCGAGCCCCACCACCTAAGCCAGGAACAGAACCCAGGCATCCTGACTACCAGGCGCTTGCTATAACCACTAGACCACACTCTTTCGAAGGTGAGAACAGAACCCCGGCATCATGCCCCGAGTCCTGCGCGTCAACCACAAAACCATGAGCATTCCCCATCCGAGGGCTCTCTCCATACCAGAACTGTACACGACTTCAGGGATATCTTGGCATTAAAAAGAAAAAACGTGAGTGAACGCCTGCGGTAACTTGTCCAGGAATGTGCAGCGTCAAGACTTACAAATGAGACTGTAGCATGGAAAAGCTTCCTCATTTACACAGGTCCAGCCTTGGGGCCATCACACGCGTACCCTGTTTGTTTCCCAATCAGTAACTGCTCTCCCGGCATGTCCGCTGACGACGCCTCAGCGTGGGAGGGCACAGACCCTGTACTCGGGAGGTATGTTCCAAAATCCACTCGCTTTTGGGGTGAGGTCAATGTCCTGGGGGTCAACGGGCGACTGCAAGGTGAAGCGCTGCAGGACGGAGGTAAAGACCAGGAAGAGCTCCATGCGGGCCAGACCCTCGCCCAGACACACCCGCTTCCCTAGGGGAACAAAGGCAAATACAGGACTCCTGGCTGACTGTCCCACACCCCGTCCCTTCCATGCACAGAGCTCGGCACCCTGCAGTGAGTTAACCCCGACCACAGTCCCACCCACGCTCCCCCAACTTAGCCTTGAAGGAGTTCATTTGTTAGGCATGAGGCCCTGATCTATGGGGGGCTGGGGAAGGGGGAGAAATGCTGGTACCTGAGGAAAAAGCCATAAAAGCATGGTTCTTCTTAAAGCCGCCGTTCTCGTCCAAGAAATTCCCCGGGTCGAAGCGTTCTGGGTCGCTGAAGTGTCTGGGGTCCCGGAGGGCAGAGCCCAGCACGCAGAAAACATCTGTCCCCTGGTAAGAGAGGTGGGTCTGGTTGTTTGGCCAGCTCTAGCTATCACCGCGAGAGCGTCCTCATCAGTTTCAATCTATTTTAGCCATGGCACACGCGTGAGTGTTTGCAGGACTGGGACCCACGTGTACAGTGGAGGCAGGGAAAGAACCCAGGCGTCCTGACACCTAGTCCCCCGCTGTAACTCTCTTCCACAAAGCAAACCTGCTTTGCCTTCTCCCCATGAGCATGGGGCTGCGGCTTGTACAACCCGGCTAGCCAGGCGTGAGGTCGCCTCGGTGCACTGCCGGCCACTCCCAGCCGGTCAAGCATTGCACCCCTGGCCGGGTATCCCCAGGCCTCGTCCTGGCCCCTCTCCTCTGAGCCACGCTGCAGCTGTGAGTTATGGAGAAATGGCGCCACTTAGTGGTTGGGGAAACCCCAACACCCCAGCCTGATTGTCCCACCCATGGAAACAGAGATTTGTCGTGATCTTTTAGAGAAAAAAAGAGAAGCCGATGGAGATCCAGGCCTGCCAATGCCCAAGAGCACCCCTGTAACTGTATTTCACATGTGTGCACACGCACAGAGTTCCTCTTGTCCTGCGCAAGCCCAGTTGAAAATCATCTTATCCTGGCAGGGGCGGCTCTAGCTTTTTTGCCGCCCCAAGCACAGCAGGCAGGCTGCCTTCAGAGGCATGCCTGCGGGAGGTCCCCGGTCTCGCGGATACGGGGTACCCGCTGCTGAATTGCCGCCGAAACCGTGGGACCGGCAGACCTCCCGCAGGCATGCCGCCGAAGGCTGCCTGGCTGCCGCCCTCGCGGGGACTGGCAGGTTGCCCCCCACGGCTTGCCGCCCCAGGCACGCGCTTGGCGCGCTGGTGCCTGGAGCCGCCGCTGTATCCTGGTGTCTGTTCAAAGCCACATTTCGAATGCAGCTGTCTCTGGGGTGCAGGGCGATAGCTAAGCAGAGCGCAACGCGAGGAGTGGGAAACAGAAATGTTCACGGACACTAGGGCAAACTCCCATGAAGGGTGGCCGCCGGGGCTGTGTGCTTGTGGTATTTTAAAACGTAAACGGGGCGTTGGCACTAGGCTCTGGACTCGGCACCTTGGGGAGCGTGTACCCCCGGAACTGGGTGTCTCGGATCACGGCATGCGGAATCCCCAGGGGGATGATGTTGCTGAAGCGCTGGATCTCGTGTATCACGGCGTGGGTGTAGGGCATCCGGCTTCGGTCCTCAGCGGCGGGGTCGCGGTGCCGCCCGACGACACCATCGATTTCCTGATGCACCTTTTCTGTCGAGACATCAGCGGAAGGCACGTTACGGGCACAGGGAGCGTGGGGCATGGAACACCCCAGCAAAGTTGTGGTCTAGGGGCAGGTCATGGTATCTGCCCGGCTGCTGCCTGAACCGTTCTTAGTAGTATTTCAGTAGCACCGAGAGGCCTTGGCTGAGACAAGGGTCCCGCTGTACGTACTCATGGTAAGACCGTCGCTGCCTGAAAGAACTTCAAATCTCAGTAGACAAGATACAAAGGAGAACTAACCAGCATGGACCTAGTGATCGAGGGCAGTTCACGCAAGGGTTAGCAGCTGATTTCCAGTCTAGTGAATTAACCACAAAGTCCACCCCATCCGTCAGAGCCGGGGGGGGGGGTGTGCTCCAGATTCCAACCCGGCCCCCGCCCCAGCTCCACCCTTATATACAGCAGAAGAGTTTCTTAAAAGCCAGTGCTTTCATTACAGAAGCTAAAGCAGGGGTAGGCAACCTATGGCACACGTGCCGAAGGCGGCACGCGAGCTGATTTTCAGTGGCACTCACACTGCCCGGGTCCTGGCCACCAGTCCGGGGGGCTCTGCATTTTAATTTAATTTTAAATGAAGCTTCTTAAACATTTTAAAAACCTTATTGACTTTACATACAACAATAGTTTAGTTATATATTATAAACTTATAGAAAGAGACCTTCTAAAACCGTTAAAATGTATTAAATTAGAGTGAATAAATGAAGACTCGGCACACCACTTCTGAAAAGTTGCCGACCCCTGGGCTAAAGACAGGGAAAGAGGACAGACAAGGGCTCTGGCTTTGCTCTCTGGTCCACGCAGTCTCCATCCTGATTGGCACAGTTGGAGTAAACAGCTGGTAGCGAAACAGTGGCAACCGGAATATCCATTTTGCGGGCAATTTGGTGATTTCAAAATTTGTTTCCATTCCAAAATGGAACCACCACAAAAGGATTTAGGAATTTCCTGGCAAAAATAATGCTTAAAAAGATCATTTTGGGTCAAAACCCCTTGGTTTGGATTCTGAACATTTTCATTTCATTCTGGGTTGTAATAATAGAAAGTTAAGAAAAATCGAGATGAATAATTGGAATGTTTTGCTCCAAAACTGTCGAACTGGGACACGGCTGTTTACTGAACACTTCCTTCTGATCTCTCTTTTCTAAACGCAGTGTTGTTGAAATAGAGGGGAAGAAACTCATTCTGTCGGAAACCTTTAAACCAGCCCTACTAATTACCTTGTACCTCTGGGTATTTCATCAGGAGCAGGAACCCGTATCTCAAGGTGGCGCTCACCATCTCCGTCCCACCGAAAAACAAGTGGACCACACTCAGCGCCAGGTTCTTTGTGTGGAATTCACTCTGCGGATTTTGCTTTTCCTTGAAAGAGGAAATAAAAAAAATCTCAAAAATCTCGGAGCTAATGATGCCCAAACAGCAAGGTGACAAACAGGAGAGAAACATTTGCACTGCCAGAATTCATGGCTGAGGTCTCTGGTTTATGGCCAGACCAATACACTTGTGAGTTAACCTGAAAAACTCATGAGGACGTTCATTTGATCTTTCAATATTTCTAACGTAGTATTTTGAATTAACAAGCAGCCTTAAAGCCTCAGATCAAACCACCCCTATTTCTCGCACAAAATACCCTAGGTCAAAGGATGGGGGCTGCTTGAAGGCTCCCAGCATTGCCTGGGTGTGCACATCTCTCGCAGGCGCTGCCTTGTGAGCGAAGGGGTTTCAATGCCGTTGCTTGAGCACGGGGATAATTTGCACGGGAAACGTTGTCTGGTAACCATGGGCCTGACCCTCCAGGGCCCTGCACCCGGTGGGGTCATTTGCCCCGGAACAAGTCGAGCGGGTCTAAGACGCTACCCACACCCACGTTGCACTGGGGGTAAATAACTCCTCTGGGTGCAGGGTAGCGGAGAATTGGGGCCGGTGCGTCGAACTCCTGTCCCAGGAAAGTGACGCCAGGGAACTATGGACTGCCCGTCACTTGCGGTGTTCCTCAAGGGAAAGGAAAGCCAGGGCTTGGCCGGGATGAAGATAAAGGGTATTCTTTCTACAGGCTGTTGGTCACAGACAGATGTGGTGATGCTCTCTGACTCTGGTTCCCAGCCTGTGCGAAGGAACATCCCAGAGGCCACTGAAGACCCTTCCTAAAATACCACCCTGGCCCCCACAGCTCTGTACCTCTTCCATCTTGATGAGGAAGGCGTCAATGTAATCCCGAGGGCAGCCAGGATCCAAGGTCTTCTGGTTCCTCTGCACCCGCTCGGTGACGAAGTCGTGCAGCACCTCGACGTGCTGAAGAATGCGGTTGTGGGGGCCGGGTAAGAAGCGCATGATGCCTGGAAACATCTCGTAGAGCTGCGGGGGGAAGGCGGGAGAGACGCGGGAAGCTCCGTTAGCAGCGCGGAGTGGGAGGGGGCGGCCACTCGTGAGCCGGCCCGACTGGATGTCACGCGGGAGCGGGCTGCGCACGCAGCCAGCCCACCTCCGTCTCGCTGCTCCCATGGCTGGCTCAGGGCAGCCCAGAAGCTGCAGCAAGCGGCGAGGACAGGGCCGCCATCCCCAAGCGTTCAGAAATCATGAGATTTGAAAAGAAGATTAATGATGGCTTTGGAGAGCATTCCGTGGGCCGGCTGCTCGGCGTCGCGCTTTCAGGCTCTTCTCGGCACACACGAGGGCAAACTCACGTTAGAAAAAAAAAGAGGCGGGCTAAGAGTCTGACCCAGAACCCGTGACTCCAGGAGCTGGGGATTTTAGAAAAGACACCAGAGCCCCACAGGATGGGGATAGAATCGCCGACCTGCGTCTTTGGTTCTGGGCTGGGAGGAACCCCGCTTCTGCCCCTCCGAGACGTCCCGCCTCCTCAGCTGGGATCCCACAGTCTGATTTTGTGAGCTGCTCAGCCAGGCTGGATAGAGTCAGTCCCATGTGTGTGCTCCAGATCCAACAGGCTGGCTGCTCCGCACCCCAAAGGCATAGGTATGAATCTCGGCAGCACTCAGCCGTGCTGGACCAGGCCTGCTGCTTTGCCCTCCACACCCAGGATCCCACTGGCTTGGGCGTCAGACTGGGCCCCGGGAAGGCCCAAGGGACGAGGGAGGTGCTCAGAGGGGGACACCAGCAGCTACGAAGTTGCCTGCCCTCTGTAACAGGTGTCTGGTGGTGCACTGGGGCCAGTGGGAGGGATAAGGCCTTGGCGCTTTTGTAGGTCCGAGCCCCGGGTGATGCCTTCCATCCTACTGCAGGAGGGTGGGGAGCGGTCAGGGATGGAGGGCCAGATCTGCACAGATGCAGACAGGCGCCCAAGTCACACTGGGGGGTGGGGTGCCTAGCGTACTTAGGTGCATCTTTTGGCACCTAAATACCTTGGAAAATGCAGCCTGGATTCCTAGCCCCCTCCCTGCTCTCCTTCCAAGGATCCCTTCGCTCGCTGCCACTCCAGGACCTGTCCCGGGCTGCATAGACCCCCCGCAGCCCCAGAAGTGTCACCCACCTGCGTCCAGGGGCCGCTCAGCTCCAGGAAGAGGCTCTGGATGACGTCGAGTAAGCTCAGGAAGGTCTGGTCCTGGTAGTCGAAGCGGTCCCCGAAGGCGATGGAGGAGATCACATTGCCGACGGCGTGGCTGACGGGGCGGCTGGGGTCGAAGGGAGAACCTGGGGGGGCAGAACAGACTGCGCTGAGCCGCCGGGAGCGGCAGGAGGGGGAATATCCCTCGCCGATCGAAGCCGTCTGGGGTTACTGCTTCACTGCGAGGGGCACCGAAGCATGGGGACGGGCCGTGCTCCCTCCTCGGCGCCATGCTGGGACCAGGGGGATTTTTCATTGCCCAAGGCACGAAGTGAGGGAGAGGCCGGGAGAGGAGCAGGGCCCTGCAGGCCAGGTTTTCAGAAGAGCTCAACCCCGGGAGTCTCCAGCGAGAGCAACAGAGACCCCCTGGGGGCCCCTCCTCCGTGTGCGGAGAACCTAGACCCTCCATCGAGGCCCCGCAGCCCCGACGCCACAGGCACGAACCGTTGGTTTTCCTGATCTCCTCCACCAGAGCCCGAGCTTCCTCCGCGATCGTCTCTTGGAGGGTCCTTTTCCCCATCCCCAGATTCCGCAGGGTGGCGACCGAGAACTGGCGCAGCTGCTTCCACCGCTCGCCGTTCGCGAAGATGACCCCTGAGGACGGGAGAGGGACACAGAAGGGGCGGAGGGCCCAATGACAATCAGCCAGCGAGAGAACGGGGGGTGGGGGGGCAGCACAAACATGCCTGTGAACGGCAAAGGAAGTGGGCCAGTGGGATCGTCGAACTGGGTGGGACCCTTCAAAGTCATTATTCTCGAACGCTGCTGTTGCAAAACAGGCCCCGCTCTGCTAACTGCTGCATCCGGTGAAACCGGCTGAACCCCCCAGGGCATCTCGCTGGCTTTCTTGGCCTCAGACGTGTTCTTTTAACCCACCGGGTAAGTTCTCATCAGGCAGTTGGACTCTGTCTTTGCAGTTTCCCGCTCCTGAGACACAGCGAGTCTAGACACGGTGGGTCCAGGTGTGTGGGAGGCGCCGGGAGGTGTTTGGAGAACGGCCCCAGACGTGATCAGGGTAGGGCAGACACCGACCGACACAGGGGAAAGGTGAAAGGAGCCAAAGGAAGACTGGCCTTGTAGTTAAGGTGCCGGTCTGGCTTCGGGGCCCGATTTTGCCACTGGCTCCCCTGTCTGTTGTAGAATCCCCATTTTCCAGACGAGTAACTGAAGTACTCGCAGGGGAAGTGACTCACGCGTAAGCACTTCGGTTTCTCGCGCGTAACATGCAAATCCAGCTGCGCCCCCACCTCCCGGGGGCTGTGAGGAGCTCTGGGGAGGGGGGGCCGTGTGATGCCTTCCGGAGACTAACCTAGGCAGTGTGGCTCAGGGACGACAACAGGGATCAGAAGGGTGACGAGCCGCTGTCGAGCGTGAAGCCCAGGGGTTCTAACGTGGAGCCCTGGGCTGAAATCGTGGGGAACGTTATGAGGCAAAGCCCAGGGGAATGCACTTTAGGAAAGAACAGAGGCTGAACTGGGTGGGACTCCATGGCCACTGATTTTGGTTGCCCAGCGTGAGACCCCTGGGGTCTGAATTTAAAGAAGCACTGAGCACCGGCAGCTTCCATCGCCCCCGGTTGAAGTTGTGGGTACGGCACCTCTGAGCCCCCCAAAACCGAGCCCCCCAATACCACTGGCTCCTTCTGAGGGTATTGGCCCCTGATTCCGGGTGGCTCTCGGGGGAAGTTGGATAGTTCCCTAGGGGACCTCTGGCATTTCTTATCTGTCACTTCCACCCAGCCCTGCGACACCCACTCCAATAAGGGAGGACGGGCCAATGACAAAGAGATCCAGAAGTGAATCCCACGTGAGCCCCGAGTCTCGGTGCTTGTGGCGCAGGGTTGCCAGAACGCCTGGTCGAAAAGAGACGCTGGTGGCTCCGGTCGGCACTGCCGGCTGGCCGTTAAAAGTCCGGTCGGCAGCGCAGCAGGGGCCCGGGGCTAAGGCAGGCACCCTGCCGGTCCTAGCTCCGCGCGGAAGCAGCTGCCAGGTCCTTGTGGCCCCATGGCACATAGGCTGCCAGGGAGGCTCCGCGTGCTGCCCCTGCCCCTAGTGCCGGCTCCGCTGCTCCCATTGGCTGGGAACCATGACCAATAGGAGCTGTGGGGGCGGTGCCTCTGGGTGCGAGGGCAGTGCATGGAGCCTCCCTGGCAGTCCTGCGTCTAGGGCAGCGGTTCTCAAACTGTGGGTCGCGACCCTGTTTTAATGGGGTCACCAGGGCTGGCTTAGACTTGCTGGGGATGAGGCCAAAGCCAGAGTCCCATCGCCCAGGGCTGAAGCTGAAGCTCGGGGCTCAGGTTACAGGCCCCCCGCCTGGGGGTGAAGCCCTTGGGCCTTGGGCCCCCTCCTGGGGTCGGGAAGTAATTTGTGTTGTCAGAAGGGGGTCGTGGTGCAATGAAGTTTGAGAACCCCTGGGCTAGGGGCCGCCGGGACCTGGCGGCCACTTCCAGGGAGCTGCGGTAAGCGCTGCCAGGACCCTGCACCCCAAACTTCCTCCTGCACCCCAACCCCCTGCCCCAGCTCGGAGTCCCCTCCTGCACCCAAACTCCCTCCCGGATCCCACCCCCCACAGCACTCTGTGCCAGCCCTGAGCCCCCTCCTGCACCCCAACCCCCTGCCCCAGCTCGGAGTCCCCTCCCGCACCCAAACTCCCACCTGGACACCCCCCCCAATGCCCCAACCCCCTGCCCCAGCTCTCTCCTGCACCCCAAACCCCTCATCCCCAGCCCCACCCCAGAGCCCGCACCCCCAGCCAGAGTCCTCCCCCCCTCCCCCACACCCCAACGCCCTGCCCCTGCCTGGTGAGTGTGGGTGAGGGGAGTGAGCGATGGAGGGAGGGGGGATGGAGTGAGCAGGGGCGGGGCCTCAGAAAAGGGGCGGGGCAGGGTGGGGAAGGGGCAGGG